AAAAAAAAAAAAAAAAAAAAGAGAATGTGCTTGGATTCTCAAAGGTGCAATAAAACAGTAAGAAATCAATTCAAATCACCCAAAGCCCTAGTTTCGCTCACTCACTAATTCAAAAAACGTGTGCACAGCTTTGCATCAGGCCCAGAATACTGACATGTATTAAATTACAGTCTAGGGCAAAGAGCTGCTTCAATCTGCAGTGTTGTGAAGAAAATTATTGGCACCAGTTTTTCTCCTTAACTGCACTGGCTAATCCAATGATCACCACAAAAAAAAAAAAAAAAATTACTCAAACCATTTCTTTGAAACAGTTCCATGAACTGCCAACCATCATGCCCCTCTAAGACATCTAGCACAGACCAGGAGGGCAGCTGAGCTCAGGGCCAGAGGACCCAATAGCACCAGAAGCCTCTCAGTGAGCCACACAGATGTCCCCTCCTCCCCGCCACCCACAGGCCCAAGCCTCCCTTTACCTAGTCAATAAGTACTTTCTTAGCTCAGGAAGCAACCCATCTTTCCCCTACTCTGTTTTATTAAAAAGTTTGTCATGAATTACTGTCTTGCTCAAAGCCAAGTCTATAGCTGAGCCCAGACATTCCTGCCCTTTCTTCTACTTTTAACCTGAGGACTCATTCTCTGATTTCCATAGACCTTTGATCTGGATGCTGTATTCAAGGCTCCAATCACTATTCTGTCTACCCCAGAAATGAGCAATCTCTTCTTGGTGGCCTGTAGTAGTTGCTGCCACCACTACCAGCACTACCACCCTCCCTGTACTCCCCACTCGCATACACCTGAAGTGAAAGGGTCAAATGCGATGGATGCTTTGGCCCTAACCTACCGGACCTTTCTGGCACATAAAAAAAATGTCACTTACAACATTGTCCTTTGCACTCTGCTCGGCTTCCTGTCACTCTCCTGGACCTCCCTCAGCCATCTGGCAGCTCTTTCTGTGTATGCTTTAGGTTTATCTCTGCCAGGCCCTTACGTGTTTGTTAACTATGGGGCTACTCTATAGACCCACTTTCTAATTTCAACTACATGTTCTCCCTGGTGAGTCTCACCCACTTTTCCAGTTTGGATATCCGTATTTGTCAAAGTGACCGCTATGTACCTCCAAGCTAGAACCCTTACCGCCCCTACCCCCTGCTTAATATGCCCAGTGGGTACTATGTATCTCCAACTGAACATCTCATAGCCACCTCCAACTAACATCTACAAAGTATTCATTATCTTCCCTGCCCAGATCTATTCTCCTGAGTTACCTCCCTCCCTCATTCAATGGCAACACCATTTACCCAAAGTGGAAATCCAGGAGTCTAGCTGAACAAGTAGGCAGTGGCCAGAGCATGGGAGGCAGTGCTTCTGTAGCAGGCCCCCTTTACTGTGTGCTTCCAACCACTAAATGTCAGTTAACATTCCCAAGCAACTTCCAAAAATTCTTCCAAACGTGTCCAAATGTCTATTAGTGGATGGAGGAGGCAATAATGCAACCCAGCTTGAAAGTTACTCATACAGAGTATTGTACAATGTAGTGTAAATTTGTTCCTACACATAATGGGAGCCCTTGGAGAGTTTTAAGCTAGGAAGTGACATGATCTTACATTTTATGATTATTCTCATTGTTCTATGAAGAATAAATTGAAGAACAAGAATGGAAGCAAGTACTGGTGGCCTAGACTATAGTGGTGGCAGTGGAGATGATGTAAGAGATTTTGAGAGGTGTGATGGTAGAAGCAACATGTTTTTTTTTTTTTTTTTTTTTTTTTGGGACGGAGTCTCACTCTGTCGCCCAGGCTGGAGTGCAGTGGCCGGATCTCAGCTCACTGCAAGCTCCGCCTCCTGGGTTCACTCCATTCTCCTGCCTTAGCCTCCCGAGTAGCTGGGACTACAGGCGCCTGCCACCTCGCCTGGCTAGTTTTTTGTATTTTTTAGTAGAGACGGGGTTTCACCATGTGTTAGCCAGGATGGTCTCGATCTCCCGACCTCGTGATCCGCCCGTCTCAGCCTCCCAAAGTGCTGGGATTACAGGCTTGAGCCACCGCGCCCAGCCAATGGCTTGTTAATGAACTGGCTGTGAGGAGCAAGGAGGCAGACACAAAGATGACTCCAAACCAGAAACAACTGGGTGGAGAGCAGCATCACTTTCTGAGACAGGGAAGTTTTTGACAGTTTTAGAAGTGGTGCCAATGAAGATCTGAGGCATTGTCAATAAATCCAAGTAAATGCTAAGTAGGCAGCTGAATATGTGGAAAAGGTTCCAAACAGAGGAAGGTATGGCCGAGAGACTTGGACTTATGTGTCAATGCAGCACACGGATTAAGACACAGGCTTCAGGACCAGCCCATCCAGGGTTGAATCTCAATTCTGTCCCTTTTTTTTTCTGAGACAGAGTCTCGCTCTGTCGCCCAGGCTGGAGTGCAGTGGCACGATCTCCACTCATTGCAAGCTCTGCCTCCCGGGTTCATGCCATTCTCCTGCCTCAGCCTCCTGAGTAGCTAGGACTTCAGGTGCACACCACTACACCCGGCTAATTTTTTGTATTTTTAGTAGAGATGGGGTTTCACTGTGTCAACCAGGATAGTCTCCTGACCTCGTGATCTGCCCGCCTCGGCCTCCCAGAGTGCTGGGATTACAAGCGTGAGCCACCGTGCCTGGCCTCACTTTTTTTTTGAGGCAGAGTCTTACTCTATCGCCCAGGCTGGAGTGCAGTGGCACGATCTCAGCTCACTGCAACCTCTGCCTCCTGGGTTCAGGCAATTCTGTGCCTTAGCCTCCCAGGTAGCTGGGATTATACTTGCCAACCACCACGCCTGGTTAATTTTTTGTTTTTGTATTTTTAGTAGAGATGGGGTTTCACCATCTTGGCCAGGCTGGTCTTTTAACTCCTGACCTCGTGATCCACCCGCCTCTGGCCTTCGAAAGTGCTGGGATTATAGGTGTGAGCCACCACGCCTGGCCACTTCTGCCACTTTTTAAGCATGGCTTTGGCCTTGTCACTTAATCTCTTTGCCTGAGTTTCCTCATCTGTAAAATAGAGATATTAGTACAAACTTCGTAAATTTAATGTGAAAATTGGAAGAATATGTTAAATATCAAGAACAGTAGTACTGGCAGATAGTACCAGTGATTATCATCTTCAGCAGCAGCAAGAATCATCTGGAGATGCTGGAAACCATGGCAATGGAAAGAAATCCCTTAGGGAGAAGAGGGCCAAGTACTGAACCCTAAGGAACATCAACATGTACGATTCAGAGACAGGAAAAGGCACCAGTAAGTTTCCTGGGAATAAAGAAGACTCAGATGGGTAGGAGGAAAATCAGGAATGTGTAATAACATGCAAGTCTAAAGAAAAAGAGTCTCGGCCGGGTATGGTGGCTCACGCCTGTAATCCCAGCACTTTGGGAGGCCGAGGCGGGTGGATCACGAGGTCAGGAGATTGAGACCATCCTGGTTAACACGGTGAAATCCCATCTCTACCAAAAATACAAAAAATTAGCTGGGCATGGTGGCGGGCGCCTGTAGTCGCAGCTACTCGGGAGGCTGAGGCAGGAGAATGGCGTGAACCCGGGAGGTGGAGCTTGCAGTGAGCCAAGACAGAGCCACTGCACTTCAGCCCGGAAGACAGAGCGAGACTCCGTCTCAAAGAAAAAAAAAAAAAAAGACTCAATAATGGGCTGCTGTGTTGTGTGTTGCTGTAGGATAAATACATACTTGCTGGTCTGAACTGGCTGTAGGGGGTTCACTGCTGACCTTGACAAGAACAGATTTAGTCATGAGTTGAAGGGAAAATTTTACAGCGTCTGGAGCCCAGGTTGTGTAGATAATGCTTTTTGAGAGTGCTGGGAATAAAGTAGAACAGAGAAATGGGGCAATAGATGGAGGTGGGTGTGAGGAAGTCAGATTTCACCATATATCTGGTTTTAAAGACAGGAGATATAAGAGCTTTTATAAAAGGTGTGGACCTGTGGTAGATGAAGGAACACATTTTGTCACCAGCACCCCTTAGGGTTCAACTTGACTGTCTTCCGCACATGCTGTAAAGTGGTCCAAGGGTGGAAGAGACTGTCTTACTCATCTCTATTCCCCAGTTCCTAGCACAGAGCCTGCATAGGAGGACAGAGGGATATCTGTGGTATATATAGACAAACTCATCTTTCCCTTGGCATTTTTCCCTGAGGATGGAAAATTGGGATTCTTCACAATTTTTCTATTTCTGGTAATAATAACTTCATGTAAATCACTCTAAGACTTTCCCAAAACAGACACAGCCTCTGAAGAACACTGGCCCACTAAAATGAACTCCAGAAAGGATCTTCTCCTGCTGGAAGACCCAGACATGGAAATTATAAACAGAGACCACTAAGTACCAAATGAGGCACTGACCTGCAATTGGACCATCAGGTCCAGGAGAGCTAGGGGAGGCCTAATGGGCTCCATCTCTGTAAACAAAAGCTGAGCACAGAGACCTATTACAAATCTACTGGCTGGTTTCTCCTATATGCAGTCAATTCTACACACATCTACTTGGTTCCTCCTGTTACCACGAATCTAGGAAATTCCTGATTTCCTATCACAGATTAGATCAAACTCAACTCTGCTTTGGGAAAACAACAACCCCACCCCCACCCCCAACACTAACTCCATTCCCACAGTTCCCTTCTCAAGTTGCCTTAGGCCATGTCCCTTCTGTCCATCCTTGGTTCTGTATTTATGTTGTTCCATTCTTTTGTTTATCTAAACTATAAACCACAGTTCAACAGTTCAAGGCAGGGTACAGTGGCTCATGCCTATAATCCCAGCACTCCGGGAGGCCAAGGCAGAGGATCACTTAAGGCCAGGAGTTCAAGAGCAGCCTGGGCAACATAGTGAGACCCTGTCTCTACAAATATATATACACACATATACATACACACACACGTATGTATATATACACACACGTGTATATATACACACACACACGTGTGTGTGTGTGTGTGTGTGTGTGTGTACATATGCCGAGTGTGGCAGTCTGCCTATAGTCCCAGCTACTTGGGAGGCTGAGGCGGGAGGATTTTATGAGCCCAGGAGTTTCAAGCTACAGTGAATTATGATCACTACCATACTCCTACCTGGGAAACAAAGCAACAAACTGTCTCAAAAATAAATAAACAAACTACAGTTCAAACCTCATTTTGTCCACAAAAACGCCTCTGTTGACTTTTTAACCTAGAATTTCTAAATTCCCAGTCTGTCTTTGTATGTCATAATTATTCTGCCTTATAAATAATTGAAAGGAAAAGAAATCATAAGTTCTTATTTTTGCAACTAGACTCTAAGTTGTACAAAGCAAAAAATCTTGTCTTGTTCTATTTCTGGGCCCAACAGCTAGATATTTAGCAGGTCTTTAACGATGCCACCTAGGATAATATGATGTTGCCTCTATGAAACCACCTGGTCAACCTTTGCTTAATCACTTACAGCCCATGTTTCCAAGTGCAGTTCCTTATCTAACTTGTTTGTGCCAGCTCCCACATACATATGTACTCCCAGGAGCCTATGACCACTGAGGCACAGAACCTTCATCAGTCCCGTAAGACCAGAGGCGCTATATCCCACTCTAACGGGACCAGATATTTCACCAATCGGTTCTCTTTTAGACAGGGTCTCACTCTGTTCTCTAGGCTGAAAAGCAGTGGCATGATCATAGTAGCATCAACCTCCCAGGCTCATGCAACCTTCGCATCTAAGCTGGGACCACAGGCGTGTGCCACCACACTAGACTATATTTTTTAATTTTTTGTAGAAATAGGGTCTTCCTATATTGCCCAGGCTGATCTCAAACTCCTAGGCTCAAGCATTCCTCCCACCTCAGCCTCCCAAACTGCTGGGATTATAGGCAACTGTCACTGCACCCAGCACTAATAGTTTTTTTGTGTGTTTGTTTTGAGACAAAGTCTTGCTCTGTTGCCCCAGGTTGGAGTGCAGTGGCACGATCTCAGGTCACTGCAACCTCTGCTTCCCGGGTTCAAGCAATTCTCCTGCTTCAGCCTCCCGTGTAGGATTACCTGGGATAACAGGTGTGTGCCACCACACCCAGCTAATTTTGGACTCTTAGTAGAGACAGGGTTATGTTGGCCAAGCTGATCTCAAACTCCTGTCCTCCGGTGATTCACCCACCTCGGCCTCCCAAAGTACATGCGTGAACCACCGTGCCTGGCCCATATATATATATATATACATTTTTTTTTTTTTGGACGAAGTTTTGCTCTTGTTGTCCAGGCTGGAGTGCAATGGTACAATCTTGGCTCACTGCAACCTCTGCCTCCTGGGTTCAAGTGATTCTCCTGCCTTAGCCTCCTGAGTAGCTGGGATTACAGGTGCCTGCCACCACGCCCAGCTAATTTTTGTATTTTTAGTAGAGATGGGGTTTCATCATATTGGCCAGGCTGGTATCGAACTGCTGACTTGCGATCCACCCGCCTCGGCCTCCCAAAGTGCTAGGATTACAGACGTGAGCCACCTTGCCCGGCTGCCCGTTTTCAAGTAACACAAAAACACTCTTGGGAGGTCCCACTGCATAGACGGCATATTCAAGCCTCCCAATGGTTATCACTTTTAACAGGCTCATTAAGAGATATTTTAGCTTTTCTAATTCACCCACACTGTGTGCCCAAAGATGAAAAAGAGAACGAACAATCTCACAGCCTCTCCAGTGATATTTGTAATCTATGTGATAAACTACAAGTGTTTCCCTAGAACCATTTACTTATGATACAAGGAAGCAGCACCTGGGACACACTCGAGGTATCCCATTCATCTACACCTATAACTTTACTCTTCCTGAGAAGAGATTACAAAGAAGTGTCCATGGTACTTAAACCCAAAATCTCTCCAAAACTCCAAAGCAATTCCTGGTCATCTCATTTACTTCCAGGTACCAGGATAAACCTTTTTTTCTGTTGCACAGCCTCAAGTGCTGTTTCTCCCCCTCTCCTCCCAAATACTAAATACTGTATCACTGTAAGAGTAACAGCAGTAAATAAGCCAGAGGTTGCCAGGCAAGCTCTTTGCGCACTGGGCCCTGAGGGACCAGGCTGCCTGCCCTACTGATAAGTCTTCACTTACTGAACAAGTAACCTGGAGCTGCTGCTGCTGCTGCTGTGGTGGTGGTGTCTGTTCCTGGGGAGTTTGCTGCTGCGGCTGCTGTTGGGGGTCCCATATATGGACAGTTTGAGCCGTATTCTGGTAAGTGCCTGCCACAGCCTGCACAGCCACTGGAATGTGGATGTTGCCATTCATGAACTGTGCTGGAAAGAGAGAGTTTGCAAGGGTCTGCACTACCTCTTCATGGGAGTTTTTCACTACAGATGTGGTGCCCACCATCTTCTCCTTGTCATCCTCCAGCTTAACAGCTGCCAGGGCCGTGGGTGAGCCACTGACGTGAACTGCGTTGTAGGCTTCCTGGGGAATGGCAATGTGGGTAATGCTCTGCTGCTGAGGGTCCCCCCGGGGCTGGGCAGAATAAACAGGGATGGTCCAGGTTTCTCCTGTAGGGCTAGTAATGGTCCCAGTGGCACTGTACAGGTGGGCACTGTCTACTGTCAGTAAGTCTGGCCTCAAAGACACATAACTCTGCTGCTGGCCCTGTGGAATGGCCAGCACGGTGGCCACCGGCTGCCCTGAGATGGCGTAGGACACAGTGATGGGCATGTCCACTTTGCGCTTCTTCACTGGCTGGAGGACACTGGCTGTGCCAACCCGCCGCTCCCCTTCCCGGGGTGAGCCCTGCTGGGATGGTGGTGGGGAAAGGGCACCCACGGTCTGGATTTGGATCTGCTGACCACCAGCAAGAGACTGGCCAGCCACCAGCTGAGCCTGGATTTGCTGATGTGGGATGTGCTCCTCCGGGATTTCTGCAGCCTGGATCTGCTGGGCCGCTTGCACGTGCTGCACCTGGATCTGAGCTGCTTGCAGCTGCGAGGGACTGGGACTCTGCAGAGACGGGGTCTGAATGGAGGGGGCTGCTGACTGTGGTGCCTGGCCTTGGATCTGCACCTGGACCTGGATGGGTTGCTCAGTAGGCTGGTGAACGGTGAGCTGTGGGGAGAGCTGCTGAGCCGAGACCTGTTGCGGAGACTGCTGTACCTGCACCTGGACCTGTAAGCAACAAGATTCATCAGTGAGTGAACCAGGCAGCACTGAAAATCCAGCATCCAAGGAAGGTAAAAAAAGAGATCCCAGACAGGTGCCCTGCACAATGTGAGAAAACACTGGCATACTCAAGGCTTCTGAGGACATAATACGTAAAACTAAATACAGAATTGTCCAGCAGCACATTACAATCACAGGGACATGTATCCACCCCAGAGTGCAAGCAAGACAATTAACTAGGGTCTAACAAGGAAGTATCAAAACTTTTTTTTTTTTTTTTTTAAAGATGGACTTTCTCTGTTGCCCAGGCAGGAATGCAGTGGCGCAATCTCAGCTCACTACAACCTCTGCCTGCCAGGTTCAAGCGATTCTCCTGCCTCAGCTTCCAAGAGTAGCTGGGATTACAGATATGCTGGAGTCTATTATCAAAACTTTGTTTTTTTTTTTTTTTTTTTTTCCCAGACGAACTCTCACTCTGTCGCCCAGGCAGGAATGCAGTGGTGTGATCTCAGCTCACTCACTGCAACCTCCACCTCCCAGGTTCAAGCAATTCTTGAAGCGTCAGCCTCCCAAGTATCTGGGAGTACAGACATGTACCACCACATCCAGCTAATTTTTGTACTTTTAGTAGAGATGAGGTTTCACCATGTTGGCCAGGCTAATCTTGAACTCCTGACCTCAACTGCTCCACCCACCTTGGCCTCCCAAAGTGCTAGCATTGCAGGCGTGAGCCAAAACAGCCAACATTTTTATTTTCTTTGAGACAGTGTTTTGCTCTTGTTGCCCAGGCTGGAGGGCGATGGCATGATCCTGGCTCACCACAACCTCAACCTCCCGGGTCAAGCAATTCTCCTGCCTCAGTCTCCTGAGTAGATAGGATTACAGGCATGCATCATCACGCCCAGCTAATTTTGTATTTTTAGTAGAGACGGGATTTCACCATGTTGGTCAGGCTGGTCTCGAACTCCTGACCTCAGGTGATCTGCCCGTCTTGGCCTCCAAAAGTGCTGGGATTACAGGCGTGAGCCACCACGGCGGGCATTTAAAAATTTTTTTTGAAACAGAGTTTCATTCTTGTTGCCCAGGCTGGAGTGCAATAATGCGATCTCAGCTCACCGCAACCTCCATCTCACAGATTCAAGCAATTCTTCTGCCTCGGCATCCTGAGTAGCTAGGATTACAGGTGCCCACCACCATGCCCAGCTAATTTTTCTATTTTTACTAGAGACGGGGTTTTGCCATTTAGCCAGGCTGGTCTCAAACTCCTGCCCTCAGACGATCTAACCGCCTTGGCCTCCCAAAGTGCTGGGATTACAGGCGTGAGCCACCACAAGGGGCCCTTTTTTCCTCTAAAGACAGGGTCTTGCTCTGTTGCCCAGGCTAGAGTACTGTGGTAAGATGATAGGCCACTTTAAACTTCAAACTCCTCAAGTGATTCTCCCACCTCAGCCTGCTAAATAGTAAATAGCTAGGACTACAGGTACACCACCACCACACCCAGCTAAATTTTTTTTTTTTTTTTTTTTTTTTTT